TTACAGTGTAAGTGGCTTTTGTCGTATCGTGTCCAATCATGTGCAAAGTAACGATAAACGTAACTGTAAAATTCGTTACCGTTACCAAAAAAATGTAACTTCGTTACCGTTACAGTTACCAAAGAAAAAAAGTAACGCAGTTACTAGTAAAGTTACCAAAAAAGTAACTTGTAACTGTAACTTCGTTACAAGTAACGAGTTACTTCCATTCCCTGTATATGTGTGTAAATCAATAGTTCATATACATAAATATCAATAATTCTTCATTTATAATAAAATAGACTATTACCTAATGCCTTCTTCTAAAGTAATCGTATGCGGTATTATTTCCTGTAACGGTGGCATTGACACATCCGCGTGAGCTATTGGCATTGGCAAAACGTTTAAAATACTGTCTACAGGTTCAGCAGTAATTACGGTATCCGTTTTCACAAATGTACTCAAATCTTCCATAGGAAGATTTTGCTTGTTAATTGTCTCTTCTATGCGGATTGTTTCTTGGACTACAAATATAAAGTTATCCAAAGTTTGGCATTAACGTGAATATTTAACAAACATCTGAATATATCTACATTGCACAAATTCAACAGGCGCAATATCCTCATCTACACTCATAAACGGTCCGGTGATGTGATCAACAAAATGATTGCGTAAACTAGCGTTCCATTGCTTAGATAAGTATGAAGGTTCTTTGAGAAGATTTATCGCTGATGTCAAACGTTTTTTGGGCTTATCTATTTTCTAAATATAATGGAAGAATCTAGTTAGAACATTCAGATAAAAATTTCTTGTTCCGAATTTCATTGTAAGTTTATATAAGTATTTTTTGCAAATTTATATAATTTATTTTTTAAGAACTTACCTTGCTTTGAATATTTACATTCTCACGCCATTTCCAAAGTTGTTTGTCAGTTAAGACAATCTCTTTATCAATAATTTTACTTTTTTTCGAATGCTTGTTAATCACAAAGTAGCTTGAATTTAATGATTCCAATTCCATGTCTGTTTGTTGTGAAGGAACTAACATTCCTGTTTTTTCCACAGGCAATTCAGGAGCCGGTATTGCCAAATTTTTTACAAGGGGTACTGCCACATCTTCTGCAGGAGGCATGGCTGCAGTTTCAAAAGATAACTGTAAAATAACATAAAGAATTAGAATTTAAAATTAAATAAATAAAAAGTAATAAAAAATAATTTTTCAATTTTTCAAACCAAAAGAGAAGAAAATTATTATCATTACGTCATGGCAAACATTCTCGTTTATTTTTTATTTTACTTAACTTAAAATATTCTCACTAAATTCTAAAACAATCACGATATATTATAAATAATTGCATACACGTTTTTTCTTTGTAGGTGTTTCAGGTTGAATTTGCGGTTGCCGTTTTTGTGGAGTGAGAGATAAATTTCCTATGAACTTAGTCCTTCTTTTCGATATATTTACAAGCACTGGACTAAGGCTTTCTTGTGATGAATGGCGATAAACCTCTGTTCATTACAATTTAATTTGAATATAACAATACATCTGCACATTATTTTTAATATACCATTAATATACTTACCTTCTGCAATTGTTATACCAGCTAACCCCTCCAAAAGGTTTCTTTCCTCACTAATATGTAAATTTCGCAGATCATTGTCGTTACACAGAAACAATTCCAACTCTTCATTATTTAAGCAACCAAAATTCAGGAGTTCCACATCTCGCATCTATGAATGAAAAAGATTAATAACACTATGAGAATAGAAGTGAATAAAATTTACAAAGAGCAAAAATTCAGAAATGCAAAGAATATGATATTTCAGAATCTAGTTAAGAATAAGGATTTAAGAATGTAAATTTGCTAATAAGTTTGTAAACCATATGAGATCTTCACTTACAACTATTTGTAACCTGTCATAAGGCTGATCTTCAGGAAGAATATGTAAGTCTTCTTTCAAGAGTTGAGTGCTAAAAAAATTGTTAGGCAATTCTATGTCAGGACATTCAATATCCCTAAAATTATCAAACTTATCCCCTTTCTTCTTTGATGATACAGAAGGTTCAAGATTTTGTTCAAATTTAAAAATTTCCTCTAAAAAGTGATAAAATTATGTAGATTGACATGCGTTGTATTATATCACTATATATATAATAAATAAATAGAATAAAAACTCACTCTCATAGTATTCAACCTGATAAGAATGAATTTTTGCTATACCGGACATTAATTGTGATGACAGATACAAACTGAATCTATTATCAGGTTTGCCATTGGAAGATTGTATTACTTCCAGAATATCATTGCTGACGATACAATATCAAATGTAAACAAAATATCAGAATTAATGAAATTGCATTCATTATAAATATTGAGTAGAGTAGTATTGAACATGTAAATGAAATAACATATAATGTACCACGTTTGTTCAACGTTGATCTTCTTTATAGCATCAGAAGTGTAGAGTTTCTTAAATGATGTCTCACTATTCGTTGAAGCAAGCCAGGAAGCAGCAAATTTTCCCCTTTGTCGGCGGGAAAGTAGATTAATTGGGTAAAACATCTAATGAATGATAGATCTCATTAGTAAAAATACATTTGTTGAGATAGTAAATGAAAGACCATGTCAAAAAAATAAAAATGAAAATAATAATAACAGAAAACAGCCGAAATTACCTTAATTTGGTATTGATTACCTTAATTCTGGATATTTGTCAAATGTAACAACTAATGGCTTCTTTCTGGAGTCATCGATTAAAAAATATCTCAATTTCTATAATAGTTGGATTTTTTCTTTCAGATTCGTTTTCTAGCTTTTTCCTTCTTCATAAGTTATTTTTTTCATGCGGAGTACAACATGACACATCTACTGTTCGAATATCTTCCTCACATCGTCATTTTCGAATTGATGAATTGCGCGCTGAAAGTACTGAAAAATTCGTTATGGATGTGGTTAAAGTCTTACTACAAATGCTTTGAGACATTTGATTTACCAATTAGAGAAAGAATTTTACGAATTGGCCAATCGAAAAATACTTCAAAGAATTTATAGCATCATGAAGTTTTCATGCTCCAACATGTTCCTACTTCCTCCAATCCAATCATGGAAGCAGTGGCCGATTGTGCCTTGGGCACCTATCATAGAGATTTTGCGATTCCGATCGGAATTGCGAGATTCCGACTGGCGAGTTTCCGACCGCGATTCCGCTCATACGACTTTGCTATCATGGATCCCAAGCGGAATCGGCTTTCCGACCATTCCTGTCGATTCGAAATGAACATAAACGAAACGAGAGGAACGAGCGAAATGGACTTTTGCGACCAATAACAATGCAAGTCTAGAAGAAAAATAACTAAATTCAAAATGTCGGATACACCGTGAAAAGCATAGTAAGTAACAGTGAGCAGTAAGAAATATGTAAGAATTTCTTAATAATTTTTAAATATTTGTTAAATTATTGTCCGAAATGGAAAAATGCAAAATAAAGTAAATAACATACATGAAAGTGTATGTTATTTACTTTATTTTGCATTTTAATAACTAATCAAGTCA